CCTCTGGCTGGATTTGAACCTCCAACCTTCTGATTAGCAGTCAAACAATTAACCATTCGTACCACCCAGGGACTCCTTCCACCACACGTACGAGCTTTAAAAATACCACTACTAGGCCCGCCCCAGAAATTCTCACTCGCTTGGTCTGGGGTGGGATCCGGACCCGTGCTGGTATTTGAATTTTTCTGAGTTCCTTGGGTGGTTCTGACGTCAGGGGCCAGGGTCAAGGACTTCAGTGGCTGAGCCTACCGGCTTAACCCAGGAGGCAGGGGAGGCTCCTTGGGGCTGAAGGTTTTGGATAAATAAGTACCTGGGTGGATTTCTACAGACCCCTGAATTGTCAAAAGCAGAGGCTGTGTCAGCCGGGCAAGGGTGAACCCCACTTCTACTCTGAGAAAGCATATGTTGCATGCCTCAGTTTCCTGATCTGTGCAGTGGGGCACTGATGGGGCCCACTTCACAGGGGTGCTGGGGGTCCTGCAAAGGGCTCCGAGTGGTGAGCTCCTTACACAGTGGGCGTGTGGGCGGGGGCTCTGCCTCCATCACTGTGGTGGTGGAAGGCTAAAGCATGCAGCACCATGGCATGCTGACAGAACCATCCAGAAAGTCCTCTTCTCACAGGACGGCCTCAGACAGATGCAGACACAGAGTCTCATGGAGATGGGGACTCATCTGCCCTTATAAAGGTAGACCCTCCAGAATTGTCAGACCCATGCCTTGAAATTGAAACTGGCATTTCAACAGAGCAGGAATGTCTTCCTCAAGAAAATCTCTGAAGGAATCAAAGAGGACGGACATGTTCTCCTGAAGGACCAGTCTCCAGCTGAATTTGGAAGCCAAGTGTCTAACAGTCCCCCTCTGCCCATACCAGGAGGCTGACCTTGCCTACTGCCCCCGCACGTCCTGGTCCTCAGTGTGATGACAGGAATTGCTGAGGACTGGGGTGGCGTTCCTCCCAGGAATGTTGGAATTGGACCCAAAGTCCCAGGACATCCAACTACATGGGATCCACAAGAGACCCA